AGGTAGTTGAAGACATGTGCTGTCGTCGTCGGCCCACCAGCGCTTCGTGCGGAATCGAATCGATTTTGACATTGCAGCTAGGCCATAGTTATGCTCAGCAGATACACAGAGTATATACCTTCAAATAAAAACTTCATCAAACAGTTTGTATTCGTCGTTCAAAGATTTCTGCGAGCTCACGGTAAAAAAAAGTTCGGAGACAATGCATTTAAAGACGAAAAAAACCTGCTCAGATGGTAGTGGCAAAATTACATCTTCAATGGGACAAAATTCACAAAGTTTTCGATTAGTTGTCATATTTATCTCATGCTCCGTCGTCTGCATGGGTATCAACTGGCGTTTCTGTTAAAAGTCAAAGTAGCGGAAATTTGTAACCGCACGACTACCATCACCACCGATGTCATGACTTCAAGAAAGTTTAGGAATTTTGATTGAGCGGCTAGTGGATGTTCTTATTCAGATAGAATCAAAGGACCAGAGATGTTATAGTGAGCCTCACGGCTAGCGATACAGCTTCGTCTCAATCCCTTTCCCGTGGAACTCTGGCTGCAGAGAAACTGCCGCGCAGTCCCCTGTTATCCCTTCATCTCTGCACATCGAGCACCCCTTCCCTAAATTATTGCCGCCAAATCTTCAAATTTTAGGTAAGATCTCTGAAAGCCATTTCTCAAGAAATACCTGTTCCTGTCTGTGTTTTTTTGCAAAGGTTTCTCTCAATGCTAGGTTTTTCTCAATGCTCAATGTGAAAATGTTTCAAGGAACAGCAAGACAATAAGTGAAGAAACGATCACCCAATCCGTGATAAGCTGCTTGTCGTGCCGAGAAGAGGAACAGTCTCTTTTGACTTGAAACGTTCCATATTCCCACAACTTTGAACGATGGTGCTCTACTCAAGTTTACCGAGCAACAAGCAAACCAAACGTCCCTCTTCACTGGGCAGCCCCTCAATCTGGATTCTAGCCAAAATCTCAAAGTATTATACAATAATATCACCTATCTGTCCTGAAACCCATTTTTCCAAAGGGAAATCTGGTTGACATAAATATGCGATTTTTTGGAGCCTATTCACTACCGCTATCCTTTTCCTCTCTATGAAAGGGTCCTTCTGACTTTTCACCTTATATGGTTGAGCCTACCATCTTCATTCCTTTTAATCTTACCTTTTACGTCGATTAGTGCCCGTAGTTGAGCACACTCTCTTTCACTGCTAGAAATTATGGACAGTTCTTTGAGAATTTTTTTCAATGCCAACAAATACTGCCAATATTCTATCCATTCCTGCTGAAGTTTTTCACTATTTTTTTACTTGTCGACGAATTCCTTTCTTGAAGAATTGCGAATACAATTAACCCATCCACTTCGAAAATGCAGGTCCTGTAACCATCGAAAATAATGTTAATATACGCTTCTTTTGAAATTCAGTAATTATAGTGCGAAGTACCATCACGCGCTCCTTCCAAAATACACTAACTGTGGTCATTTTTTAAAGGTCAAAATTCGCCTTTCGAGAAACAGTGCATTTTCGTTTGTTATTCGATTCAACAAGCGCGCCCCATGTTGAAAGTATTTCTGCAGTTACTGTCTTCATCTCAAACAGTCCTCTTAAGGCCACAATTCGCGATAACTTCGGGTTATCTAGTTTTTGACGAATGATGGAAGTGATAGTCCAAAATAGTGCAGAGGGCTAAGAAATAGTAAAAGTCGGCTGTTTTGGAGAACTACGGTAAAGCTATGGAGCAGTAGTAAATTCGGGGGTTGGACGAGACGGCAAAAGTTGCATGGGAAGGATTTGGGCGAGCTGCTAGAATGTGTATGCCCATGCGTACAACTGGCTACAGTGAGCTACCTGAATGCAACTTGGGTGTCCCAGTGCGAAGGTGCAGTTCCCACAGCCTCTAGAACGTACATAATGAGGACTTGTGGTGTGGGCTATGCCGGGTTTGGGTTCCTTATTACTCCATATCTAAGCGTGGAATTTCAAAACGACGAGGCGCGGGTTAAGAACCTACGAGAAAATATTTACTTATTAGCGCAAATGTGGTGATGTAGGTCTAATGTATACTACCAGTGCTAAAAAAACAGTACGCGACGCTCATTGGATTCAATTTTCCTCTTTCATTTCATCAAGGCTTGAGCCACACTTGGAATCTATACGTTTCCAAACTTCGGAAAAAATTAGAAAACATGTACATTGATTCCCTTTTGATATTTCAAACCAGTGACAGTCACAAAGGATTGGAAGCTCGAATGCATCAAAATATTGGGCACCTACTACTGTTTCAAGGTGAAGAGAACCTCTTACGGTGGTGAGGTGAATTTGGGTTCTATGAGTCACATTGTATTTATTAGACACGTCCAGTGCCTCAAGTGCAATGCTATAGAGCTTTCTGGATTGAAACTAGCGATACATGTATTTACACAAAAAATGTGTTTTCGAGTTTATTTATGGTGGTATTT